GCTGGAGACTACAGCACATGAACACTGCACTGAGTGACACGGCTGCACCGGCTCGCGAAATGGTTGTAGCAGAGACTCTCGAAGTGTTGTTTTTTTTTTTCCTGCCTTGTGGACAAACGTGTGGACCAGCCGAGCCGTGACGTCAGCCGCGGCGGGCGGGCGGGGCGGAGGTGACGGCCTTTGTTTTTGTGACGTCGCGGCGCACGAGAGGGGAGAGGGACGGAGAGAGAGCGCGAGCGGTGTGTTCTAGAAGGCGGCGGGGGGGGGGCGGGAGCCGAGAGCGCTGCGCCACGTCCCGCGAACCCACCGCCGACTCCCCCGACTAATCGAGCCCGGAGGTATCGCTGCTCGCAGATCGGGCTCGGGGGATGTGTCCGTTTCATGCGTGCTGATGCCCGAGAGCACGCCCCCCTCCGCACAGTGAGCCAAGCGCGGAGATTGCAGCAGCCGCTACGCTGCTACGTATTTAGTACACGAGCCTCGCGAGTCGAGACGCTACACACACGCACAGTCACACAAATATCGCGTAAGTGAGTGTGTCGAGCTACGCGCACAGAAGTGCGTAGCTCCGTGCAGACCAGTGCCTAGTTGCGCGGTCATCTCCCGTGTAAACACTGCTCAACTCTCAGCGCTGGGCTGTGCGCCTTCCTGAGACAAGTGCGCACTTACTCCAGCAGGAGACCCTCGCCTCCCCCCCGAGCAGGACTTACACAAGCCCACCCACACTCCCCGCTCTGGCACAGAGCGGCACTCTGCAGGCACCAGTCCCGGCTCGGGCTTTGCCTTTGAAAAACCCCGAACAGAACAGGTTCTGATCGGGGAGGGCTGATGAGCGTCGCAGAAATGTCCGTTAAAAAAAACACACCTTTCCGACAAGTGACCGATGCGGGTGCGCCCCCCCGCCCCCCCGGGCTGGGCTGCAGACCCGGATCCGGGCGTCCGAACCGCGTGTGTCCGAACCGACCCCGCCCCCGAACCCCGGGTTACCCACCTTTCTGACCCGTTTCTTGATGATCGACTCCACGGCGAAAACTTGCTCGCCTATCGCCGACAGCTCCATCCCCGCTCCGCCGCGGGCTCCCGGCTGGGAAGTGGGCTTTTTAAAAACACTGTTGCGATCAACCGGGAGGGAGCGAGTGCGAGCGCGCCCGCTGTCACTGGACCTCTCCGTCCTGGTCCTGCACGGATTGCAGCGAGTTGACGTGCGTGCCGTGTGGATGTGTGCCGCCGCTGTCCTCCTCGGTTTTCCCTCCCTCGCCGGCACCGCAGGCCTGTTTGTTTGGTTTTGTTTTTTGTTTCTCTTTCCGATTGCTTTCTTTTTTTCCTTGTAGAGTTTTCAAATCTGCGACACATCTGCACCGCACGCGCGCCCCCGTCAGCCCGAGCGCGCGCCCCCGCCGCCTCCTCCGCCATCCCCGCCGCGCGCCCCTGCGCCCGTGGCTGGAGAGCTGGGCGCGGGGGCGCGCACGCCCGGAGATGGCGGGGGGGGTTGTGGCGCACGGCCGGCAGTTGCAGAGACGCATCGCGAACCGAAAGTCGTTACTGCGAAACCCCCACGGCCGTTGAGCCGCGGAGGGGGGGACAGATAAGGGCAACTCGTGCAAAAACACCGGCCACAGAGGTCAGACGGGTTCAAAACACAGACCGGGGGTTTAGGAACTCTCCAGAACTTTCTGGCAGTGCAGGATAAACTGAAGACACGCTCGGGCCTTGTACCGGTCACCGGCCTACAACACCCTCTGCACAAAATTCACAGCACGTCCAGCCCAAAGTCGTAGGGACAACCCCTACGCTTGAGCACCCCAGCCGAGCCTGGTGGCGACCAGGCTGCAGAAAAGACACAGTAATAGCCCCTCCGCTGCAGGAGTGGTTCACACCGCAGCAGCGTCTGGGTCCACCACAAGCGCCCGTCTCGGGCAGGGCTCAGGGCAGTCCTGCAGAGTCGGGGCGGGATACAAGGCAGGCGTTCAAAATAGGGACAGGGGCCGGTGAGCTTGACCAGAGTGCTTCGCTCTCTCCCCCCCCCCCATCACACGAGCGCCGACGCTAGAACAGGCGTTTTCTGCGCCGACAAGCTTAAACTACCTTGGTTAGATATTCTTCCCTACTCCCCTGTGCTTTCTGGAACCTGATCTTTCAGAAATCTGTCCCAATAAAAAAGGCCTGTCCCAGGTCTACGGCGCACCTCTAAGCAGGAGCTTCTCGCAGGCTGCGACTGCGGTCTGTTCAACCGCAGTCCGGCCACCCAGTCCGATCCCAAGAATAGCTGCAGAGGTAGAGCAGGAGATTTAATTTCAGCCGCACGGCGCCTCGTGCGCCAGGAAGCAGCTCTTGAGCTGGGAGACGGTTACGAAGTTGTTTGGTGTTTGGCGTCTGTGGGGGGAGGACAGTGCGCTGATGGCTGCCCAGCTAACGGCCTGTGGGAGCGTATCCCCACACGAGCTGACAGACTTGCACGCCGACACGAGCAGAACCAGCCGGACCTGCGCGCAGACCGGCCCGACAGAGGCGGGGACACACAGCACAGAGCGCCCAGGGCAGGTTGGGTACAGTAACAGGAGATTTATTTGAATGCGGAAATACAAAACAACTCAAAAACCCCCATCTTAGAAAACAGAACCCACTTTACAGAGCCATTCCTCCTCCCCTGAGAGAGAGGGCAGGTAACAGTTTCGAGAGAGAGAGAGAGGGGTCGGGGGGGGGGGGAGATTGTCTTGGCAAACAGCTGGAGAAACTCAGGCTCACTGGGCTTCTAACGCTCAGCGTTGAGGATGGGGGGGGCAGCAGTACGATGCTACAGATCTCTCACAAAAACAACTTGTTTTTCACCTTCCTTCGTCACCTTGGGGCTGGAGAACACCGACGTACGAACATGAACCCGACTGGGGCAGCAGCAGCCCTCCGTCCTGGATCGCTCCCAGGGGGCGTCCCCCTCCGAGCTTCCGTCACGCGGAAGAAGACTCCCCCCCCCCTTCGAGGTCCCTACGGACACCACCGGGCAACACGGAAAGAGAGACATCACGGTGGTCCCCTCTCGGAAGGGGATACTCAAGAGAGGCGAATCCGTCTATCCCCATTAACAAACTCCCCGTTCCGGCCACGGTGGGCAGGAGCACAGAGGGGGAGGAGGAGGACAACGGCAGCTTCCGAGTCGGGAGTCGCAGGAGACCCAACGAAAAGATGACACCAACGGAAAACGGGAAAAGGAAGAGGCCGAACCCAACAGAGACGTACATGACGCACACTGGGAAACAAAACAAAACACGACAGAGATGCATTGATAGTGCTGTACACCGCCGGCCGCGTCCTGCAGTCTCCACGCTGCCAGGAGAGAACACGCCGACCCGAGAGAAGAGGGGCAAGTCTGGGACTACACCGTGGCGGCCGCCCGGGCCACGTGCCCGGCCCAGCGGGCCAGAGTCGTCTTGCCAGGGCGGGAGGGAGGGCGGGCACCGCGGAAAGCGCCCTCCCCCGCCACCCCTGCGGGTCGTCCGATTGGCTAGCCGCCCCCGTCCAATCAGCACGCCTCCGTCCTCCACGTCTGGTGGACCTCGACCTCTTCGGGCACGACCAACAGGAGCTCGCAGTTCTTCCCGCGCAACTGGTGCCACAGGAACTTCCTGCCAGGACAGGGAGCGGGAGGGTTACCAGGCTGCCCGTCGGTCCGTCCAGCTCCTCTCCCGACATTCCCTTCTCCCGTCGCGTCTTCATTCGAACCCCTGCCCTCTGCTGCTCCTCAACGCCAAGGGTCAGGCCGCCTGGGGCGAGCTAATCCAACCCTGTATCCTGTATCGGGGAGCCTGTATCCTGGGCCGATCTCAAGAGATCTCTCAGCAACCCGCAGGTGCGCATTCCCAAACTCCAGCTCTCGAGAAACGACACACCTCTCCGCCCCGTTTCCATGTCAATCCCCACAGCCCCCCCCCCCGATCCTCTCTTCCCACCCACACCCGCCTCCATACCTGAGCTCGTCGGGGGGCCCTATGAGGTGGGGGCCGCGCAGCTTGGAGTCCAAGTTGTAGTAGACGCCCCCCACCTCCCTCACGCAGATCCAGTGCTGGCGCTTGAGGGGCAGCCGGAGGGGTCCCCAGCGCACGTTGGAGGGCACGTTCAGGATGAAGCCGGTCACGTTGGGCAGGGCGATGGTGGCCACGTCCCTGAGAGACGGCGGTGGGGAAGGGGGGGGGTTGATTAGCACGAGCGGAGCAGGAAGGAGGAGGCGGCGCAGGAGAGAAGCAAGCAAAGGGATGATTGGAAAGGAAAGATTTTGAAATGCACGGGAGGGGTGGGGGGTGGGGAGGGGCGTAAACGGGGACTTGAGCTTTACCTCCTCTTGTCCCACCACACCGCCTCGAACCCCCGCGTCTGCAAGGCCGCCATGATCACGTTGACGTCGTAGTTGCCGTTACCCAGCATGCTCTTCTTGTGGGGCGTGACCAGGGTGCTGGGAGAGAGCCTGGAGAGGGGAGAGAACGGGAGTGAGACAGGAAAGGAGTCGCACACCGGCCACCCCGAAGATTTCCAAGGAGGGAGTTGGGCCTAGTTCCTTCTGAAAGGTGCCCTGCCGTCCATGTGAGAGAGAGAGAAAGCTGGAGACGGATAAACACCCGTGCTCCCTCTGCCAGCAGCAAGAGGCACAGAGAGATGTAAAAAAAGACGGATCCCTTGATCCAAGTGAGAGTCACAGGGGAGCCGGAGCCTATTCCAGCAAAGACCGGGCGCAAGGCAGGGCACACCCTGGACGGGACGCCAGTCCATCTCAGGGCAGAGACATGGATACGCCAGTGCCAATTTTCCCAGGACGTCTTGGTCCTGTGGGAGGGAATGGGGGGGGGAAGCGCCCAGAGGGAGAACATGCAGACTCCACACCGACAGCACCCCAGGAAGTGAACCCAGGGCCCCAGCGCCGAGAGGCAGCATTACAGACCACTGCGCCACGTAAGACAAAAATATTTTTTCCCTGAAATAACCGATCCGACCCCAGAATTCCCAGACGAACACGGGGAGGACATACGAACTCCACACAGATAGCACCCCGGGTCCAGAATCGAACCCGGGACCCCAACGTGAGGCAGCTATGCCAACCCAGACAAGACAAAATATTTTGTTTCTCTAAAATAACCGGTCCAACCCCCGGAATTCCCACTCCAGTCAGAATCACCGCTCCCAGGCCAGCTGGAGGAAGAAAATCACAGGGAATCGCAGACATTGTTTTCCTGAATCTTTATCATTGGGATTTCTTTGGCAGCACTACGGTTCCCCGGCCATGGAAAGGCAGGGACTCGGGGACGAGTGCAGAGACTGGAGGCGAGAGACGGGCACTGAGACACAGCGATGGAGACCGGGGTGGGGGACAGGCTCGGCCACGGACGCCCCCTCCCTCCTCACCTCTGGAAGATGTCCTGCAGGGCCTCCCGGCTGAAGGCGGAGCCGTCCTGGAAGACGTTGTTGAGTGCGTGCAGGGCGCACAGCTCGCGCCGCTGCTTCTCGTGGTAGATGGGGGGCGCCTGGGGGCCGGGGGGGCCGCCGCCGCCACCGCCGCTCTCCGCCTCCCCCCCCTTCAACTTCCCCAGCCGCCAGGGCACGCAGCCCAGCCCCCGCGACCCCCCCGAGCCCGGAGCGCTGCCCATCACGCCCGCCCGACCCGCACCAAGGCAACCGGCACGGCGACCACACAGCCCATCCACGAGGGGGGGGGCGGGCCAGTAATGACAGCCCCCCAAAAATGAGGGCAGAGCCTTACAGGAAGCAAAGCACAGACATCTAACTGGTCCAGATGTTTCTGCGCATAGGCCCACGTGCGGGGGGCGGTTTGTCTCCTGTGATGAGGGCTCCTGTCTTTCAAAATCAAGTCCGTGTCTTCTTTTTTTATCACCCGCTTCTCTCCGAATTCCCAGCGAATTCCCTTGTGGACAAGGAGAAATGTACGATTCCCGGCCGGGGATGGGACAATGTAGTTTAAAGAAAAAACAAAATCGGACAAAAAAAAAGAAAGAGCTGTAACAGCCAGCCAAAATTAATTCCGATAAGATTGATCAAAATAAACCAGTTCCTGGATCCGCTTTGTCCAAACCCTTTCTATATAATATATATTTTAAACCGGGGTTCCTAAATGTCTGCTTGTTCACGTCTCCGACGCTCTCCAGATAGAAGACGAGAAAACGGGCGCAGAAGCGTTGCCGAGAGGGGAGAGGACAAGCCCACGTCTGCGGCGACGTCCCTCTGTGTGCCCGCTGTCCCCCACCTGTCCCTCCCCAGAGCTCACAGCTCAGCAGTCCTGCCCATCCTCCGATCCGGCCCGGGAGCCCGACCTGCTGCTGCTGCTGCTTCCTCCCGGAAGGAAAAAGAGGGAAAAAAGAGGATGGGAGTTTCCTTGGCCGGGGGCCGAAGAGGGGTCTCTCAAACGGATGAGACCGGGCTGACGTCCGGCGAAAGCAAGGCCCCGTCTCGGCGGCGCACCGTCTTCGAGGCCATCAGCGGCGCCATCGCGAAGAACGGGCGAGCTCTCCCAGCATCTCCAGCCCCCTCCGGGTGAAACCCCCCCACTTCTGCGCGGATCCCGTCCTCTCCTCGGGTCTCCCCTCCGTGTCCTCCTCCCCCGATCACCTCAGTCTACCTGGGCAGTTTCTTCCGACCGGCCTGGACTGTCCGCCTGCGCGAGAACAACAACGAAAAAAAAACAGATTAGAGTCCCGCTTCACGGCGCCGGGATCCGTCCCAGGTGTTCCCAGCCGCGGCCCCCTCTCCAGGAATACGTGTTTACACGAGACCCCAGGACTGCGACGTTATAAAATCAAATCCAACCCGCAGAGGAAGCGCTCCTGCCCCTGCAGGTCCTACGCGAGCTGCACCTCACCTAGTCCTTCCATAGAGCCAACACGATATTCCTGAAACGGGGATCTAAACGCGTCCTGTGGGTGAGACTCACGGGACGAGGGCAGCAATCCGGGCCTCACGGTGGTTTAGGAAGGAATAGAAACGAGTTGGAGGGAAAAGCTCGATCCAAGGAGATACCCTCCTCCGCGCCGGCTGGGTCATCTATAACCCCGGACTCCGCTCGAAGCCACAGGCCCGCGGACCACCAAAACACCGCCTGGTCAGAAACGACCCCGGTCAGTGTGAAACCGATATAGATCCGAGAATACTGGGGGGAAATACAAGTTTCTGAGCCTGAGGTTCAAGGCTCCAGCCTGTTGGGAAAAGGGATTTGTTTTTCCTGGCGATGTCCGTCCTTTATAACGCAGTTTGTGAAGCTGGGGTCGTGGGTCAGGTGTGTTCCCGACGCCCGAAGAAGGCTCCACACCCGAAACGTTGTGTTCCTTGTCAGCGGGGAATAAACCTTGTCTTGTTCCTCTGTTTCCCCCCCACCCAGGCGCCCCGACACCGGACCAGAAACTCCGAGAGCGCCGCGGGTTGACGGTGAATTCGCGACTGGACCGGTGGAGAGGCGGGAAGGCGGCCCGGCGGACGACCGTTGGCGATTCGATTCGATTTTTTTTTTTTCAAACGAACAGCTCGCGAGAGGGGAGACCGCTAACGGAAACCGCTCGCGGGCCCGGCCGCCTCCTCTTCGCTCGACGCCAGGTACGAAGGTACAAGAGGGTTTTTATTTTTAATTTATTTGGGCGTCTCCGGAGGTATTAGCTTCGGGGACGTCCAAAAAAAAAAGAGTCTCGGAGGTCCTCAGGGGACAGGGGTGTCTTCGGGTCGTAGGACGGCGTACTTAACCCGCAATGATTCCTTGGAGACAGTATCCCGACCGATACACAAATATAAGAATCCCGATCCATTTTTGTATTTATTATTGATGATGATAATAATAATTACAAGGCGTGCGGGCACCCGCCACTCAACCTTTCTAGCATACTCTGTTTTTTTTGTTTGTTTTAAAGGGGGAAACGGCCGGGGTGTCCCTCTGACATTTCCACCTACAAAACAGGATAGCTTGTCCATTTTCCAAAACCTGCTGGCCGCCCGGACCTTGCGCGGCATTGGGCGCCCTTATCAGGTGCCTCGGTGTCGGCTCCAACCCCCGGACTAGTAACACACAGACTCTCAAACCCGGGTTCGGCCACACACACACACACAACAGCCAGGGGTCCGGCAGCAGGGACTCCCTGCCAAGGAAATTAGAAATTAAAAAAACAACACGCCCTGGAGACAGAGCTTGCCTCAGCCTCAGCCGAGGAGCCCCACTCTCCGGACCGGGGACACTCTCGGGGGGGAGGGGGGGTCCCCAACGCCGCTCCCAAAACCAGCCCCCAGTCTCCCCCCAGCTCAAGCGGGGTACAGCAGCCCTCGCCACATCAAAATAAAACCTACCTCCCCCCCACCCAAACGCACAGACATGAGCAAAATCCCTCCCCTCGCCCCGCTCCGTCTCCCCGCCAGTCAGCCACCAACCTTTTTCCTCCCCCTACCAGCAGCTCCCAACTTCGCTTTCTTACCCCCGTTTCTCCCTGGCTCTTATTTCGTTTCTTCGTCTGCCTTCTCGCTGGTCTCCATAACGCGACCTGCGTGAAACGTCACTCGCTCGCCGTCGGGGTTTTTTTTTTTGCTTTCGCGTTCGTGACGTCACGGGAGTTCTGCGCTTCGCGGGGGCCGCTGGGGGAGGAGGGGGAATCACACGGCGCTTGCGCGGAAAACACGGCCCTGGAGCTCTGAGGTTACCGTAACCCCACATAAAGAGGCGCACCAATTTTACTAGTTCGTACGATAAGTAGTGCGCTTGCTTTATTACACCACCTTAGCCAAATGAACGTTATTGGTTCGGTCAAATAGGTTATACTTTTACCCCAGGAAGCTATACTAGTACGAAATAATAGTACTAATTGAGAAGCAGCTAGTGTTTGCCTCTACAAGAGCAATTGACATTTACAGAGGCATCTCAAGTTACTGTCAGAGAAATGCTTACTTGCGTGTACTTTTTTGCTTACTTTTCTCACATAACAGGTGACATAAAATATGACATAACATTGACATAATGAATGACATCACATTTGTTTGCATTCTTGTTTGTATGTTTCTTGGCTGCCGGGATAATGGTGCTGATCTTAAAGCAGGTAGGGACAACAGGCTGTAGTAGTGAGACGCTGTCAGTAAAGGAAGTCTGTAAGACTCCAGCCAGCTGGGCTGCGCGGGTTCGAGAACACGGCCGGGTATTCTGTCCGGGCTGGCAGCTGTGTGAGTGCTCTTGGATGACAAGAGAAGGGAGGATGAGGTCCCCAGATCAATTAGAGACTAAAAACTATACATAAACCGAAAACTGAAAAGCCTCCTTTTGTTTGCAACTTTTCTTGTCCTTATGTTCGGTGGTGACTGATGAAGCTCCTTCAGACAGGTGTGACTGTCGACACCTGAAGGAGGCTCAACAGTTGAAATTCTCCCCTGCTTGTTCTTTTTCGTCTCGCCCTCTGACGCAATCACGCACTCCAACCTATACCTACATGATTCAATACATATCCCTGTACTGTAACTCCTCGATGATGGTATTAGACTGCTCCCTGGTGGTAACTCTTGGTATTTGCTTGGAATTAATCAGTAGTGT